AGACAAACATTCTGCAACGCGTGGGAAAATAAGCTGAGGTCGTGTTTATATATGTGTTTCTTTTTTTTTTGATATATTTTTTGTTATGTGTTTTGGTTACTGTATTTATTTTTGTGTTTTGTGTTTTAAATCTTTGTTTAACACTGTTTATCCACGTTTAATTCATCAACATCCAAAGCCAAGGCATAAGGCAAGGAAATGTTGTCCCTGTGATGCCCTGTGCTCATCAGGCACCGCTTGCAGATGGAGGCCAAGGCATTGCCGTTCAGATTGCTTGTTCAAAGCTGTGAGAGACATAAAGGAGAAGTGACAGTCCAAGAGAAGTGTTTGGGGTCGCTAAGCTGGGGTAAGCTAGCTACTAGTTGCCGGAAGTAGTGACATCCATTAAGGGAATCATAAAGAAATCCTTAATCTAATGAGTCCCCCTAGTGCGTCTTCGTTCCGTTCTGATGAGGACTTGGACTTGGACTTGGGCTCGAAGCTGGCCCAAATGTCCTGACCTTAACTGCAAAGATGCTACTAGGAGCAAAGGGCATCGCTACTAGGAGCAAGAAGGCTACTAGGGGCCAGCAACAACAAAAAACATCAAAACAACAACAATCGGAGATTTTGATCTGATGTGAATAAGGTATCGTGAGTGTTTTGCATCTCAGAATGGACAAGCTGTTCTAAGATTCATTCACCCAAGTTGCATAGACCCCGAACTTCAGCTTCATACTTGCCATCCTTGTTACTAATAGCTTCTTGTTACTACTAGTAAGGCACTTGTTCCTAGAAGCGTGGCACTTGTTACTAATAGCTTCTTGTTACTTGCCATCGTTTGAGGGAGACTTTGACACAAACCACCAATCCTGCCTATGAGAACTTGGTTTCGCCAAAAAGGCTCCGGCTAGTAGCGTGGCACTTGTTTCTACTAGCTTCTTGGATAAACTATTGGTCAATAACAATGTTCTTCATTGATGGCAATGTTGTGAACCCGCTGGCGTTGCCTCCCCAATTTCATCACACATAGCATCACACGACTCTTCGATCATAATGCTGTGGCGATGACAATGTCGTAGTGGAATTGATGACGATGTATTAGTATGGATGAAATCACCATTGTTTTGAAGGGCACAAAATAACACTGCCAGCCTCATCGAGCCTCATATTTGCGTGAAGACAGCAGGCCACAAGGGAGAGCTCGAAAAAAGGCTCCTCCAAAGCTCGTCCGAGCCAACCAAAACACTACTAGCAATGGCCTCCACCCTAGTAGCGTCCGATCGCTCCGTTCGTAGCGATGCCAGGAGCCCCTAGTAGCTTCTTGCTCCTAGTAGCAATGGCCTCCAACCTATTGTTAACAGCGCCCTTCTATGGGCTGATTAAACAATCTGCGTAGATTTTGTGAGCACAATAATCTAGACGCCATATGCTACAGGTTCCTGTCCCATGTATGGGGCATGTGTTTGTAATTGATTGTGGAGCAAGTTCTTGATGGAGCATTTTCAGCGGATGGTGGCCGTGTGTATCAGTACCCAATGATTCGACTGCTTGAGCAAAGTAGACCAAAACCGATTGATTTCGGTCATAATTTATACACACGATTGAAATCGGTGCTATGGGTAGTGCGACAGACGCAATCAAGCTTGACCGTCTAAATGTAATTATGGCGGGGGGGAGCTTCCTCAAAGAAGCGTGAGCTATCCTGCGTCCTAGCTAGGAGCGAACTTCTGGTAGTAGCTAAGTAGTCGCCCTTACTTAATTAAGTAGGAGCAAAGGGCATCGCTACTAGGAGCAAGGAAGCTACTAGTAGCTCCTGGCCTTACTAGTAACAAGGAGCAAAGGGCCTTAAGTTTAATTTATTTTTTTATTGTTTCTACTAGCTTCTTGTTACTACTAGTAAGGCACTTGCTCCTAGTAGCGATGCACTTTGTTACTAGAACGCTTCTAAGTTTCGGTCATGCTCCTCAGGGTGCTGAAGAGGACGACGAGGGTTGCTCCCAGAGTGCTCAACTCAGGTGAAGCGCACAAACCGTCAGACACCGTCAGATAACGAAGAGACGAATACGAAAAACGGATAATTATATCATATCAACTGTTTTTATTTGCGTGACCCTATTTACATCTATTTACACCTTTTTCTTCAGGCAGTCCTCTTTCGGCCACTTCTTAAGTTCTCACGATCTTACACCATGAAAGTTGCAGGTTCTGTGCTGCATCTCTAGATGGCGCCCAGGTTGAATGTGTGAAGGTGAAGGCTCCTCTCCAGTGCAGCGTGGATCCCATCGATCTTCCATGGATCTTTCCTGTCTTGTGAGCAAGTCAGCAATACTTTGCGAATGAAGACCAATAGCTTCGCAAGTTTTGTTGGTCTCACTCTGAAGTTGGACTGAGCATTTGTAGCTGGCCTTCTTTGCAGATTGACACCTTGCTTTGGAGTATGACAATCCTGATTAAGACCTGTGGACCCTGAGCCTTATGTTCTCGAACATTGGACATCAGCTGCACCACTGTCACTATCCCCTTTGTGTTTTCATGTTTTTCACTCATATGCAGAGTGAATCATTGGCTTTTCACTCATGTAGACGAGTTCAATGCTCGCAGCCTTCAAAGTGCGGCCACGGCTAAAACGCCCTGGAAGGGCGCTGCTTCGAAGCACAAGTTCTGCTTGGAGTCACGGGACTAAACCACAGAAGTGGTGCCCTCGCTTTCCACAACTGGAAGTGCTAACTTCTCACAGGAGTGTTGGACAGCACATGAGCGCTCACATGCGTTGGAATTGACTTCGGAAAGTCGGGGTGTACTGTTTCATACGCCAAGAATGGCAGAAGCCACAGCGCGGAGGTGTTGCCAAGCTTTTCCTTAGCCGTTTCAATGGCGCGACCGCCCCGGCCAAAGTGTCATTTGCAACGCGGTGGCCACTGCGTGTTTTGCACAAACACTGTTTGACACTAACCTAGGCGCATAGCAATGGCCTCTAACCTAGAAGCTTCTTGCTCCTAGTAGTACGGCCAGGAGCCCCTAGTAGCTTCTTGTTCCTAATGGCGATGCCCTTGTTTCTAGTAGCGATATGCTAACGGAGTAGAACTGCGGCCTCCACTGTGGCAAATTTTTGGACGGAGGCAGCCCTTGACGAAGATCCGTGCAGGTTCAATAGACCACGCGAGCGCTCAGCAACGTCCCATTCCCGTTCTGACAAAACCCATTTGTGAAGATGAGCAACAAGAACTTTGTGACTTACTTTGTTCATGTTTGTTCTTTGTGGACGTTGTCATAGCGTGACGTCGGGATGCCGCCCTTGCCGCTCGAGACTTGTTTTGGCTGTCGCTTTGAGGAAGCTGGCAGCAGAGCGGCGAAACGTGCTGAAAAAAGACAGCTTGTTACTAGCAATGGCCTCCAACCTAGTAGCGATGGCCTCCAGCCTAGTAGGGCGAGGAGCGGGCTAACAAAAAAAGCGTTGGACACTTGGAAGGCTTAAGCAGTGCAGAGTGGGATGAAACATTTTGACAGCTCATGCAAGACTGCGTTTCTGTGCCCAACGAAGAACTCCCCGCGAACTTGTTCTTTGGCTCGTTTGCTTGCACGGTTTGTCAGATCGTGGAGGCTGTGACTTTTGCTCGAGTTATTCTGGCTTTTTGCATTCAAAATAGTACATAGTGGCAAGAAGCTAGGTTCGAGGCCATTGCTTCTAGGTTGGAGGCCATTGCTGTTAAGTTGGAGGCTATTAGGTTGGAATTCAACCGATTCAACATGTCTTTTTTGCATCACGGCGTACAGGATGGCTCCGCCTTCTGATAGCGAACCTGAAGCTCAACCCTTTTGAGCGAAGGCGCACTCGAGGAGGTCACCGTGGCAACTAGCAACTCCAATAATATATGCGAAGGAATATCCAAGGAACCTGATTGTAAAGGCTTCCAACCCAATAGACATGGCCAACTCCAACTAGATAGCGAAACTCTACTTACCGTATCTTACCGTGAAGACTCGAGTCGATCGCTTTGAAGTCTGACACTTGTTTGGGCAGGAGATGGCGCTGGACTGTTTATGTCTTCCGAAACTGGTTGACCCAGTGGACAGCTTCCTATGCTGCCTTTCTTTGGACACTGGAGTGAAGGCCTTTGCACATTTCAAACATGCTATTATGCAAGAGGAGCGCATGTGGACGATTCAGGGAGCAAATTTTGGCCATGTATTAGGATGCTATTAGGTGGAGGCCTTCGCAAGTAGGTTGGAGGCCATCACAAGTAGGTTGGAGGCCATCGCTACTAGTGGCAAGAAGCATTTCTTAAAAGGTACATTGTCTTCAGCACTTTAGACTTGTGTCTTTAATGCCGGTAGAAGTGCAATCCGCGCAAATTCTTTCAGGGCCCAAAAGGACTCCCATGTTGTCAAAGGACTTTTCAAACGAGACTTCCATGTTGATGTAGAACGGACATGTAAAGAACAGAGCAACGGAGTAGAGGACCGCAGAGTATAACATGGAAAGAGCGAAGAGGACGTCTTCCTTTTTGGTGGACGGAGGACGTCATCGCTAGTGACTTCCATTTGTTGAAAGAAAACATGTGTTTTTGAGACTGGGAACAAGAAGCTAGTAGGGGCTCCTGGCCGTACTACTAGGAGCAAGGACGCTACTAGGGGCTCCTGGCCTTACTACTAGGAACGTGGACGCTACTAGGGGCTCCTAGAGAAGCCACTGCAGATCTTAGGTGTCACACTTCTTAGAGAAATCAGTGAGCAGAGTAGCTGAGAGAACGGGCTCCAGACTGCCACGTTTCGTGCTCGGATCGTGCAGTAGCTTCTTTGACAAGGGGCAGTCCGATGTCCAACTTAGTAGCACTGGGAAAATCTGCTGATTGAGCTTAGCCCTTTGCTACTAAGAACAAAGGGCATCGCTACTAGGAACAAGAAGCTACTATAGGGGCTCCTGGCATCGCTACGAACGGAGCGATCGGACGCTAGGAACGGGGCTCCTGGCCTTACTACTAGAAACAAGAGGACGCTATGAACGTAGCGTCCTCTTGTTTCTAGTAGTAATGCCAGGAGCGCCCCTAGTAGTGTCCGATCGCTCGGTTCGTAGCGATGCCCTTTGTTACTAGTAAACAAAGCAAACTTGCCACGTTTGGTTTCCTGTCCGTTTGCGACAGTTGCTGATGTGGCCACACCTGGTTTTGCTGATGTACACTGTGGCGACGGTCTACAACTAAGATTTTGAGGTAAGACCAAGCCTTGAAAGGGACTCCCATGTAAATGACAGTTTTGAACGACGGAGTCCCGCGCAGAAATTTGATTAGCAAGGCTATTGAGAATCTCATTGGGCAGGACAATGGCGCTGCCCTTAGTCCAGGTACATCTAGGAACTATGTATTAAACGCTACTCGGGGCTCCTGGCCTCGCTACTAGGAGCAAGGACGCTACTAGGGGCTCTCGGCCTTACTGCTAGGAACAAGAAGCTATTAGAAGAAAAGTTTATTGTTTCAATTCAATCTCTGCAATACTTGCAAAGCGACAGTCCACCCTTTGAAGATTGAAGAGAGACTATCTGCAGGCACTCCAGGCACTTCCCAGATGTTTGAGACAATTTGGCCATGCACTTGAAAGAAAACGCCTCATGTTCATTCATGTTCTGCGCAAAAGAAACACATGACCTCAAAGCGAACTTTGGTGAGGTCTTTGATTGGTATCCCAGTGATTTTAGCCGGTCTTTGGGGCGTGTACCACCGCATCGAACCACATGTGCGCCTGTTTTCCTCCTGAGACACTAGATTATTGATTTGCCCAAAGTCCTGCTTTTCTTGTGCTTTTTTTTCCTGAAAGGTACGCTTATACTGGTACTACCTTGTGCTTAGCTTTGCTATCGATTTGGTGCTCCTGACAGTTTGCAGCAGTTCTCGCCGTTCTCGCATCGTGTCGGTCGAATACTAAACACAAGCTATTTCTGCTGGTACGTTTTTTGCTTGGTATACTTAGTATACTTAATACTCTAAGAATGCCGGAGGTCTTCATTGTGGACCTCTTCATTCTCCAAGATGCATGCGTGCACTTGAAACTCGAAGAAGCAGCAAGGGCTTCCTAGAAGGCGTTTTCACACAAATGAGCACGACTGCAGAAGAAAAGACCAAGAAGAGTGTAGAAGAGTTTTCCCGGGTGACAGGGTTCGGACCGAGGACGTAGGTTGGGTCTGTGGAACTCAGCGAGAAACCGTAAGTGACAGCTAAGCGAACTCGATGCGACACAGCTTGAGATTGGGAGCGTTTAGCTTGAGAATTTGACTTTTGTTGTTTTCCAGCTTGGTCTACCTACATGCTTCATTTGTTACTCCCTGTTCGACTTCCAGACATCTGGGTAACCTGGGACAAAATGAGGCACAAGGTGGCCAAGCATTTGCTTGTGGCGTAGCTCGGAGCATTAGCAGCACCGCCGCTGTCGTCTGGACCCCAGTGGCTAGTGAATCGAAACAAGTCTATCGGCAAGTCTCCCGTGTCACACTTCACCTCTAGGTCTTGGCAATGTTTAATTTGCCACTGGTTTAATTGGCTTTCACGTTTTGGCCCCTGCCCCTAAAGCTACCATCGTTGACGAACTAACATTGAAAAAACGACATCAGTTTGTCACCTGTCTCCTAGTAGCTTCTTGTTTGTAGTAGTAAGAATGCTCCTAGTAGCGATGCCAGGAGCCCCTAGTAGCGATGCCCTTGCTCCTAGTAGCTTCTTGTTTGTAGAGAGGGCACCACCTGTTGAGATTGCCCAACAATGTTGAGAAACTGGCTGCATTGCACAATGCACACTGCATGAACAATTGCGTGCAATATCATTTATTCATGCATTTGACCAGGCTTTGCAATAGCCATCTCTAAGCACCCTATATCTCCACAAGTGCTGCCGTCGCTCATTTTGACAGTAGGTGATCGGTGGACACTTCCGTCCACTCGCCCTTTTGGAACTTGCCTGGTCTTCATACACATACCCAAAAGGCTTCCATACAGCTGTTTTGCTTGAGACAGGTTCTTCAATGCCTTGGGTATGGAACAAGCAGGGCCGGTGGGCAGAAGTTCCGCACATGGATGAAGCAGGAACAACGTATGGCCACGATTGGTGAATATTGGACCATCTTGGTGATAGTATTTATGGTTTGTTGTGATGTACATTTGGGTCGTGAAGTGTTGTGAAGTGTTGTGTGATGGTGATTGGACATGATTGATGATGTATGGGAAAGTTTGCCACGGCAACCTCAGAGGCCTAGTGCCAACGTTGCTTTTCCCAAGAGCTTTCACACACTTGCGGTTGCTCAGGCGTTCGCTTAGGTGTTTACTTGCGTGCCCAAGTTTGCCTGAAACAACCTCGAAACACCTTATGATCATGACCAGCTCCGAGACAGCCTGCAACCGCTCTAGCACACCACACACGCTGTACTGATTGGGTGTCATGTTTGCACACGCATTTCGACTTAATCCACTAGATCTCCAAAAGATGTATGACATTTGCCTGCGTACTCAGCCATGTGAAACTTGTGCAACTGTTCGTTTCTCGGAACTCTTGAAGCTTCTTTTGACACATTTGGACACTGTTTTGGCTGTGGGAGGTATCGACCATCGTGGCCTTGTACCTGATCTACGTCGTTTGGTCTTGGTGTGAGGACAAGTTGGGGAAGTGTAGACAAAGTGAAGTCTTCGATGTGCAGTCATTTGTCCATCACAGTGGTGCTTAGGATGCAGATGGAAGCACTGCGGCTGATGCTGCCTACTTGGTCAATGCAGAAACAATAAATATGATGACATATGAACACAAAGGATCAGCAGCCAAGTCTCTAATGCGCATGGATGTATACTGCAAGGCTGTTGCAGCACTCTTGGACATAGCGGATGGCAGAGCCTTGGGCAAGAAACGGTCCGCAGCTCTTTTCAGTGAAGCGCGACGGAGCATGCCAGCATCACGCGAAGTCTTGCAGTTTGAACTCTTTGTTTGTAAACATTGTCTACAAAGATGTGGGTCTCTTGATGAGGTACTTTGGGCTTGAGGGGCCGGATGTGATTGGACCCAGCATGGATGCAACAGCCAGTCACCCAGTTCAGTGAAGAGGTCATATGTGTTTTATCCCGTGCTATGAAGGGTCTTGTAAACGGTTCCGTTGCAGTTGTTGATGTGTTTTTTTTGGTTGAATGGACAGTGGCAGACCTTGAGATATATAAGACCAGAGCCAATCTATCTAGTCATGAACAACACCATTTGAGATCCAAGCGAGGTCGCCTCTTCAAACATCAGCTCGTTCTTCCGACCTTACATGCATATTACTGTAAGTTGTCTATGTTCTAATGCTGAAAACCATTATTCAGATGTTTACCATTTAGCATAACTCTTATGGGCTGAATGTTGAAAAAGGAAAAACAAAAGGAAAGCAAACGAAAAAAACAAAGCAAAAAGCAAGCAAATGCAAACACAAGAGAAAGCAACGGCAAACACACAATTCCAACCGAAAAAAGCAAACACAAATAAAAAGCAACAGCAGCAAATAAAAAGAGAAACCCCAAAAGCACAAATCCAAAAAGCAAAAAATATAGCAAACCCAAAATGACAAGCAGCAACTGAAGAAGCAAATGTGAACAGCAACAAGCCCAAGAACATAATCAAACGAACAAGCAAAAGCAGACATCAACCAAAAAACAACAGCACGCGTGCGATAGTTTGTTCCATCTATAGATGGGGACTTATCATCCATGATGTTCTTCTACCAGGAAGGATTGACAGCGCATCTTCGGTTGATGATTCATGCGTCCTGCATGATGTAACTGCGCGGGAGGGAATGACATGACTTTTCTTTGTCAAAATGACCAAAAAGCACTGGGTGAAACATCTACTTGAATGTGTTCTTTGTGTGCCAGAGGGGCCAGAGGAGCCATGGAGGTTTTGCTAAATCATGCTAAATCCTTGAAACTTCTTTTCTGTGACAAAAGAACAAAAACATGAAGAAACACACATGCAAGCAAACACACACCAAACATTCAATAAAGCAGTTGAACAATTAAAAAAGCACAGTTTCAATGCGCCTAAGGCCGGTATGTTGTTTTTGTTTCAGTTTTGTTTACAATTATGATGTTCTCAGAATGTTCAGAGTTAGCCTGGGCCTGGCGAGCATAACATATTATCCTTAGCCCAAGCTTCAACACTATTTCGGTGCCTCAATTTCTCCTTGTCCCCCTTGCACCGACAACTCTAGCTTGAATGCCAAGCATGCCACGGATACACAATACCTTATTGCAGGAAACCAGATAGAACTGTCCGTAGCCTGGCCGTAGGCTGGCTGGTGACCATCGATTCTGTCGGAATTTGGAAAACAGACTAGTAGCTCCTGGCCTTACTACTAGGAACAAGAAGCTACTAGGAGCAAAGGGCATCGCTACTAGGAGCAAGGACGCTACTAGGGGCTCCTGGCATCGCTACTAGGAGCAAGGATGCTACTGGGGGCTCCTAGCCTTACTACTAGGAACAAGAAGCTAATGACTACTAGGAGCAAGGACGCTACTAGTCCTCTACCCATCGATTCTGTAACGACGCAACACTTTGCCGTATCCAAGACCTGGCACTTGCTGCCACTGTCGATGAAAATGCATGACAAAGGTACGCAGGCTGTGCTATTAGGTTGGAGGCCATTGCTACTAGGGTGGAGGCCATAGCAATTTGTACCTTTGATTGTAGAAACATAGGTGAAGGAAGCTAGTAGTAACAAGTGCATCACTTCTAGTAACAAGTGCCTTACTAGTAGTAACAAGAAGCTATTAGAAACAAGGTGAAAAAGACTGTGGACCTCTTTTGGCCTCGTTTGATGTGCACACGGTCCTTGTAAGACTGCGCTGTCGAAATCCTTTGAGCCTCAAGGTCGGCATAGTGGCTGGTTCACCAAAGCAACACCCAGTCTCACTGGTCCGTTGTGACATGCGGAAGTCCAAACCATCTCCTTGCGACACATTGAGAACTCGAGAGAGGGAGAGAGTGTTCTTTTTGTTCGCCCTTTCCCCAACTTTGCTGCAAACAGGCATTATTTTCTGATGGCCTCCAACCTCTATGTTCTCAGGCTTCGATCTTCAGTGGGGCTTCCATCTTCTATGGCTCTGTGAGCAGCGCTGTCATTGGTGAGGCCAAAGCAGCACGGGAGGCCCAGACACGGCACACGACAAGCAGCAACACCACTGTTACTACTAGCGATGCACTTGTTCCTAGTAGCTTCTTGTTACTACTAGTAAGGCACCTGTTACTAGAAGCGATGCACTTGTTACTACTAGCTTCTTGTTACTACATGTGTTTCTGTTCACGTCACAGATACCGTCACTTTGCGTCAGAAGGTGGAGTTTGCGATCAAAAAGAGCACACTAAACTGGAAGGACCCTGGATGGGGTAGAGCGCAAAAGCAATTCATTTAGTGCGAACTATTGCAAACAAAACAAGAACATCATCATGTTTAAACATCAACAGGACAACTTTGAGCCAACGACATGCTTTTCAGTGGCCTTTTCTCAAACATCTAGCATTGAAATGATCCAAGCCAAGTTCTCCTGCTTCTATCGGCTTGATAGCCATCATCATATGCCATCATACTTTTCCCACCTCCGACCCGAATCCCCTTGCTCACGGCCACGCGGCTGAGGTTGGCGAGTTTGTTGGGACTTCAATCGATGACATTGAGACTTACGCGATTGGTGAGAGCCTCAGGGCGATGGCTCCGACATCGTCTGAGCCGTCAAACACGTTGAGGCCGGGCTTGACTTCCGAAAGCTTTCGGGCCAGAGGCGGATGAGGCGGAGTTGATCTGCTTTGACAGACGACCTTCGACATCAAGCTTTGGCTCAGATAAAGATTGGTTTTCTTCGACATCGCGGATTGCTCTTTGAACCGACTTGAGGATGTGCATGCAGAAGTGCTGGAGAAAAGGATTTACAGCGATGCAGAGGTGTTTGTGATTCACTCCAGGCTCGCCATTAGAGCCCAATAGAAGCACTCAAGAGATGATTGAATATGCCGACGTGCCTCGCGCTTTGCTCAATACGCTAAGCAGCGCAGTGATGTGAAAGGATGAAGGCAGAAACGAGCTGCAGTTCTATCGCAAGCCACTTTACAAGGATCGAAATACTGTACCAACATGTGCAGTACATGGAGTTTGTTTCAATAGGTTTTGCCAAGCTTCAATAGTTCCACCAGATTGATCAAGAGTTGCAAAAGACATGTTGGACCTGCTTTCAACGACTCAACTTCGATGAAAAAGTGCCCTGCTTTCAACAAATGGAAGGAGGACGGAACAAAAGTCAGTTGGTTTCTCGTCTCTTTGGTTTCTCTCAGTTGGTTCATACACTTTGTGGTTCACATGGTGTCAGATGCAAGATCTGCTGGCAGGGCGAAGCCCGACAACTTCTCGCGCAGAAGTTGATGCAGTTCCTATCTCCAGAATCACAGGAGAGGCAGGAACAAAAGTATGGGCAAGTTTAAAACTCTTTTTTTGAGTTGTTTGGCACTTTCAGCACAAAGCGCTATTAGGTTGGAGGCCATTGCTACTAGTTCTAACTGAAACACCTGATGTTTGCATCCGTCATATGTCGGAATCAGGACTCCCTTGCTCGTGACCTTAAGGAGTCACCTGAGAAACCGAGGCCTGAGCTTTATCGAAGAAAGGCAAAATCAAGCCTTACCAGCTCATTTGTTTTTTTGGGTGACAAAAGGCGAGTTTGCTTCAGTTTGCTTCAGTTTGCAGGTTTGATCATGCCCTAAACACCCTCTTGAGATCTGGTGGAGATCAGGCCATGCTGCCATGCTGTGCTGCTTTAAACATCGGCCATTCGGCTGTCGGTCGGACAGGTCACGAGGCAGAACCTCCTAGAGGCCATTCGGAAGGCACCGGGCCGCTCTGCCCTCCAAGCTACTAGCGATGGCCTCCAACCTAGCGAAGTTGCCATATGATAGTTCGGCAGATTTGGAAGTTGCTTTGGCAACTTTGGTGTTGACAGCCATGGTGTTCGTTTCGTTGATCTCATAGTTTGACGTTTTCTATGCTGTACTCTCGCTTCTTCATCAAAAATTTGCAGAACAAACCGCCTTTGACAGAGTATGACGCTTCAGTTAGTAGTGAACGATGCAAATGCAAAAGTGCTGAAAGGAAGCCAAGCCTTGTCTCCAGTTGCTATTGGCTGAAGCTACGAGCTTTACTCGTTCCTTGTTGCGGCCAACCACCCCTAAAAACAAGCTAACCAGTGGATCCAACATGATCCAAGGCCTTGGAACCACCTTGAAACATGTGGTTTTGCTTCACAGATAAACATCAAGTATACCTGACAGCTTGAACTTCTGGGTAGGTTCATCAAGGATCACTTGCACACAACTCTCCACTTTCCGAGTGTAGTAGCTATATTGTTACTAGTAGAAGGCCAGCCCCTAGTAGCGTCCTTGCTCCTAGTACATGCTGCTTGGTATTCTTCTGGCACCACTTGCAGGAGCTTCCAGCTCTTCCGTTGCAGCAGGCTGGGAATTGGTCTATTAGATCATTTTTCTTCTTTTGGGACTTCTTCCGGTCTACTAAGAACTCCTTGTGAGAGAGCCGGGCGTTGGTCAGGCGGAACAGCACCTGCGGCGAAGCTTCCGGCATAAGGCACCGCTCCGTCCCTTCGAGTTTGAGCCTCCAATGGTTGAAATATGTTTAACACTTGTTCCTAGTAGCGAACCTTGTTACTACTAGTAAGGCACTTGTTACTAGAAGCGATGCACTTGTTCCTAGTAGCTACTTGTTACTATCAATTTATGCTTACAATGTAGGTCTTGCAGAAAGTCCTATTTCCTTCGGACAGGTGAATTCACTGCGGTGCCTTGGGCAGAAAGTGCTTCTGACACTGTTGCAGGCTTGACCACGTGCTTTGCAATGCTTTGCATGCTTTTTTAGGTACCAAATGGTAGTACTCAATGGTACGAAAAAGGGCAAGGAAGGTGCAGCTATGTTGACTGTCAGGTGCAGTTTGTTTCTGAGAATCCCTCCAAGCGCCGGAGAAGGGATTTGCCTGGCAATGCAGAGGAAATGGTTGTGGATCCGAGATTTCGGGTTGTGTCGGACTGCTAAGATCTTGTTATCCTTTCGGTTTTGTACCGAGGCCTGGTCCTCCCCTCTATTAAGATCTCGATTGCTGAGGATCGCACGCAGCTCTGCAAGTAGTATTCAACGTTAGCATACTCCAACCCACCCCGCCCTGCTGATGGTGATGAGGATTGCGCGCAGGTCTGCAAGTTGTTTTGAATGTTAGCATCCCATGCCCATGCTGATGGTGATGTGGATCGTGCGCAGGGCTTCAAGTGGTTTCAGCGTAAGCGTGCCCCACCCCACCCCACCCCACCTTGCTGATGAGGACCGCGCCCCAGTCTGCAAGTGCTTTGACCATTAGCATACCCCACCCCACGCCACCCCACCCATGATGCTGGTGATGCTTGCTGTCGTCGCAAGTGATCGGCGAAAAAAGTGGTCAACAGGTTGCAACGCTAGACCTATGGTACCATCGACCACGGCATGTTTGAGCTAAGCGTTTGTATTCAAGAACAGGTTAGCAGTCAAAAGGTGTTCTTTATTGTGTTGGCCTGTCCGAAAATCATGCTGCTCCTCCAGATGTTGCGTCAGTAAACAAATATGTTGCAGAAAAGTCAGATATTCGCAATCGGCCGAACATCGTTCCCATTTCATTGCTGCCGCCTTTTTCGCAAGCATCGCAATCATTTTTTTGATACACTCTTCAATTGCCAGCGGCTGTGCCATATCTGGGGGCAAGGCTGGCACTGGAACAAGCAGGCTGGCCCGAAAAACAAAAGGTTCCTTGAGTTCCTTGTGCAACTTTTATATCGCAGGACTTTCGCCAGTTTTTCGAATGCAAGCTGTTTGTTTTTCAGCACTGCATCAGTCAGAGCCACTTTTCTTGCCGCAGCGCTGGCTACATTTGAGCACTTGAGCAGGTAAACATTAGTTCCTAGTGACTTTGTGTCTTCATGACACAATGTGGTACAGCGTGACCATTCACAGTATGGACATGTGCAAGCACGGAAGTGTTGTGAATAGGTGAGAAGATGCGATCAGAAATATGCTCCAGGCATCTCATTTTGCACCATCCTCCAACAGGGCCAGGCGTCGCAAAGTTTTCAACATGCCCGGAGGAGTGGCAGCTACTGCCCCGCACAAAGTTTCAAAGGGTGTTCCATCACTAAAGCGCAAGCTCCGATGACTGACGGCTGACCACGTTGGCCTTTACCCCTCTGTTTGTCACGTGGTTAGACGCCAACACGTGGCGTGGTTCCGGAAGGGCGGCGCCATGGAGTGTGCAATGGTCCTGGGTGCAGGCATGGTGGTGATTGTGATTGCGCTTTGTGCTTGACCTTCTGCTATCTTCTGCCAGGATCTTTCTCCATGGGGGCAGTTTCAATTGGGAGTGTTGCAGCCTTGGCCTTGGCCTGACTCGTGGAGCTTGTTCTTCCCCATCATTGTGCGTCATTCCGCAGTACATGGTCAAGTGGTGCTTTGCAATGGTTTTTGGCTTGCTGTGTCGGCATGAGTCGGCATGTTGTCCAACTCTTGTCACGACTCTTTTCCCAAAGCGGTGCTGAGTTGGATGGGAGGCAGGGACGACCGGATCTGCCGCGGGCATCGCTACAACAGTGGCAGCTGGCGCAGCTGGCAGCGCAGCGGGCGCTGCAACGGCTGCAACGCTGCTGGTTCCCGCAGAGCCTTGGCAAAAGAGTTTGTTGGTCTCAGGCATTGCTTTCCAGCTTGGATATTTCATTTTCAATCTCAGCTTATCGTGCTTATTTGCAACCATGGTTGGAAGCAGCATGTTTTCGCTTGCTAAAGCGATGGCAGTACTGGTGCTGTTTTTTTGTGCAGATATGCTGGCATGTGTCGCGACCTAGAATTCGGAATCCAGCAGCGCATCTGCCATTACTCGTATGTAGATCTCATGACCGGCCCTGGCGGTCGTATGCAGTGACAGGCAATTCCGCTCTTCTGTTGGTAAAATTGTGTGCCTCATGATTGATTTTTGGAGCAGGAGATCTATAGTGACCACAGTGTATATGATTGGCGGCTTAGGAGGGGGAAACCGACGCTATGCAACCATACTTGGCTTAGTCATCGCTGAGGCCTGTGCGGCTTGCGTGATTGCCCCAGCGTTGGCACTTCGGTGGGTGAGGGCCTCTGATTCCTTCGCTTGCCATAACGTTTTGACATAGACCCCACAACTACCATTTTTATCCCAAAGTTGTCAGCCAATGCCTCAGATCCAGAACGCTGTGGCCAAAGATGCACAGGACAGTGTGGTATGTTAGCGGTTTGTACCTCCGAGGTTTCTCTCTGACAGTGGCCGGGTTTGATTTGTGCATGAAGTAATCTTTGCAGGATGAGCCGGAGCAAATCCTTTGCCAGGCTCAGCCTATGTTTGGGTGTCAAATTTCCCATTTGTTTTGTTTCATCTTCTGTTAGGCGGAGCAGATCCTCCAAGCTTCATTGGTCACCTCAGTGGGCAACGGGCAGTTTGGCTCGGTCTACCAGGCCGTGCCGTGTAAATGCGCAGCGTTTTAAACCAGCAGGCTTTGGCTTTCGAGCCCTTGCCCTTGACAGGTGAATAGCAAAGTGGCAGTGAAGCATGTGCGCGGCCAGTTAGTGGATGTCATGCGGGGCCCCCAGGATAAACGTGGATAAACGGAAGGTATGGATCTTGAGAAACCGCCGGAGATAAATCCTTGCCCTGGCAGCTGCTTTCATGCGCATAATTTAGGCGAGGCCCAAGTCGTCGGTCGCTTGGCTTTGTTTACAGAAGTTAAGGTCAGAAATCCGAGTGCTGCAGCTTGTCCAATCTGAGAACGTCGTCCGCCTTTTGGGCTTTGCAGTTCTGCCAAGCCAGGCATTCCGGCTTTGATCGTTCGCATTGTTTCGGGAAACCTTTGCTCTTTGATTTTGCGAATTCCCTGACCTTTTGTTCAGGCTTATATCTACGTCGAAATGTGCTCTGGA